GTTACTATGTCTGATCCGTCTTATGAACCCACACATAAAAGATCCGGTAGCAAATGGAGTGATGAATTCTCACCTGCTGGCAGTGCAGTTACAGAAATAACTCAGGCTGGTGAACTCATAGGTGCAAACAAATTGACAATGGTGCGTTTTCCACCAACTCATAATTTGCTTGAAAATCCATTATTATGATTTCCTTGAAAATGCATTATCAAAATATATTGCACAGTATGAAAATAGCAGTAATATTCTGTTGGCCAGTGTTTGGCATGACTGACTGGAGTTTTTCTTTTATACGTGTTAATGTAGGATTTATATGTCAAATTTTTATGTTAATCACAGATGAGGTGTGCATGTATAAACTATTTGTATCTTAAGATCCTTAGTTGACCACCACGTATGAAGTGCATACTTAAACTATTTGAGTGCTTAAATCTGACTTCTGCTTGGCATTTGTTAGTCCCAGAATAATTGATCTCATCCTTTTATCCTGGCATTAGGGTGGGATGTCAATTTCAGATCAGATGGATCTTCTTGTTGAGCAAGTAAAGATGCTTGCTGGGGAGATTGCGTTTAGCACGAGTACTCTGAAGCGCTTGGTAGACCAGTCTGTGGATGACCCTGAAAGTTCAAAAAATCAGGTACATTTCGCTGTTTTGTGCTCATTTTCCTGTCCATTTATTATACTGTCCCAACGTGTTCTAATTTGATGTAAGGAAGATGCTGTCCGCGAGTGCAAATAAATAGTAAAAAGTTGTTTGCACAATCGAATAAGCTGATAATGAGCAGAATGTGCTCCTTAAGATGGGTATGTTTGCACCATGCGAGAGAATGGAGAGAATGCCAGCCTGTTTAACCACAAATCTTCAATCTTGTTTTGGATTAACCATTGCATACTGGGATTCTACATGTAGCATGATAAGATCAAGAATTATTAATTCTTGGGTATTTGCAGTCTGCATATTTATGTGCTTGTTATCTACACATGCCTTCTGACATTTTCATGTGTGGATTACGAAATTGAAGATGAGGCGACTGCATTGCAGCTTTAATAACTTGGTTTAGCAACATGTCTTCTTGTGCACAAGATTTTCTAATGAATATTCACTTGTTTATTCGTATTCATGTTTTTCTGATATAGATTGAGAATTTGGAACGTGAGATTCATGATAAGAAGAGGCAGATGAGCGCACTAGAACAGCGCATTATTGAGAGTGGCGAAGCTTCTATCGCTAATGCATCCCTAGTTGAAATGCAGCAGGTACTCTCTCTCTCCCTCTCTCTCTCCAGAAGTTATCTCTCCATCATTTGCCATATCACAATAGATTTTGACTCCATTAATATATTGTAACAGACAGTCATGAGATTGATGGCACAATGCAATGAGAAAGGTTTTGAGTTGGAGGTAAGTTTCTTGAGTGCTAGATCAATTAAAAGGATGATAATGATTTTGTATTCTTGTTTCCTGCAACTTGAAATAGCACTATTGATTGGCCTGTCCATTTATCCTGCCATCCTTATGTAGATGACGGTAATGTTCTTACTGGCTGATATATTATTCATCGCAAATGCAGATAAAATCTGCAGACAATCGGATCTTGCAGGAACAGTTGCAGAATAAAGTACGAACCTCATTTTCCTATATATAATTTTTATTCGACAATGTATGTTTGCATCTGCTGAGTTCTATATACTTGCACTTTTTTTTATGTTGTGCCCGGCAGTGTGCAGAGAACAGGGAACTACAGGAAAGAGTGAATGTGTTGGAGCAGCAATTGACTTCACCTAACAGTGATAAGATTATCAAGACATCAGTCTCTTCTGAACTGAATATTTCTGAGGGTAATAGCAACGAGCTGAAAAGGAAGATTCAAACTCAGGTGATTACTTATTCTTTCTTTCTTTTGAAAGTATAGATGAGAAGCATAATGGAGTTAGAACCTCGTAGATGAGTACAAATGGAAACAGCACAATGAGAATTGTCATGTAGAGCAACAAATTTAATATGGTGAAGTGCATTTGTCGTGTACATATGTTTTGCAAAGTTCTTCACTTTGTAAGATTGCTCTGTGCCTTCGCCGCAGGAGATTGAGAATGAGAAATTGAAGCTGGAACAGGTCCAGCTTTCAGAAGAAAACAGTGGCTTGCGTGTCCAGAATCAGAAACTGGCAGAGGAAGCTTCATATGCAAAAGAGCTTGCATCCGCTGCTGCTGTTGAGCTGAAGAATTTGGCTGGGGAGGTTACTAAGCTTTCCCTGCAGAACTCAAAGCTAGAAAAAGAACTCTTGGCTGCACGAGAATTGGCACATTCTAGAGCTAATGGTTTAAACCGCAAATTCGGTGATGGTGTAAGGGCGGCTAGAAAAGGTCGTCTATCTGGTCGTTCCCATGACCTGGGATCTGCCTCTGATGAGTTTGATGCCTGGAGTCTTGACCCAGATGATTTGAAAATGGAACTACAGGCAAGAAAGCAACGTGAAGCAGCTCTTGAAGCTGCATTAGCTGAAAAGGAGTTTCTAGAAGATGAATACAGGAAAAAAGTTGATGAGGCAAAGAAGAGGGAGGAAGCTTTAGAAAATGACTTGGCCAATATGTGGGTCCTTGTTGCTAAATTGAAGAAAGACGGGGGAGGCATAACTGAGCTGAACTCGGATGACAGGTCTTCTGAAGCAAACAACATTGATGAATTGAAGCCTACTGACAGTGATAGCAATGGCATCCTAAAAGAGAGGCAAATTCCTGATGTCTCGAGACCAACTGAGGAATTTGTCAAGGAGGAACCTCTAGTTGTTCGCTTGAAGGTAGTGTCTGTGGATGTTCTTTCAGCATCTACGCATGTACTTCTGTAAGTTTATTTGAGAAACAAATGGTTCTACTGAATATTTCTCCAAAGTATACTTGGGATCCAGTGGGTTGCCCAATCGAATCAGCAATATTTTCTTTTTTTAAGTTATCGTTCACTGTAGTTTAAAATATATCTGTGTTTGAGCTGTTTAATTCTTCAGGCGCGAATGCAAGAAATGAGAGAAAAGGAACTCAAATCCGCCGGAAACGGAGATGGAAACTCGCATATGTGTAAAGTTTGTTTTGAATCACCAACTGCAGCTATCCTTCTACCCTGCAGGCATTTTTGTTGTAAGTAATTGAAGATTTTGCCACTTAAAATTCCATATTTCTGCCGATCTTTTTTGACTAATTACTGTACTTCCCATCTCTTCTGCAGTGTGTAAATCCTGTTCTCTAGCTTGTTCTGAGTGTCCTATTTGTCGTACAAAAATTGGAGATAGGCTGTTTGCATTTACTTCTTGACTCCGCCGTTTATTTCCTCCTAAAGGTATGCAAATTGGCTCCATCTACATACTTTTCCTCTTAAGTACATGCTTGGTGGACCATCAACTGGTTGTTTTAAGACATGATCTATGGGAGAGCCAAGCTAAGTGTGAACAAGAGACTCTATATGGAGGCTGTCTATATGTACATTGGACTTTGTTAGTAATGCCACATGATTTTGTGAAGTGTCTTATACATTTGTCTGCTTCATGTGCAGGGTTTTCTTACTATTGGTAGCTATTTTGCTTCCAATGGCAGGTGCATTCTTTTATTACTTTCTCCTGTACGTAGCTCCTGCAATGATATATCAGCCGTTTCTTTTCTGTAACTTTCCCAAAGAGATGTAAAATAAGCAGGGAAAAGTTCGGAAAAAAGAAGCGAAACATGTCAAGAGAACTATACGATTTCGAGTTTATGGGGCAAGATGTTGCTCTGCCATTGAACATGTAGCAGAATGTTGACATGTTCGAAGTTCTAAAACTTCTGTGGAGTCGGGTTACATATACAAATGGTGTAAGCCTCTGTAAAAAAAAAAATTCCACCCTTCCCAGTGTAATTTCGATTCTGAAAACAGAGGCTACTTGTGCTTTGATTATCTGCAAATGCATTATCAACCATCATTTGTTCGTACATCAGAAATATAAAGTTGAGGTTCTGATCAGTGGCCATGTTCTAGTATGTTCAACAAAAAGCTTCACGGTTTTGTGCTTGAGTAACCGAAAGCTCAGAACCTTCCTATCTTGGTTCTATGTTTGCTTAAAGCAGCACGGAAAAGAATCTTGTACGATAATGATCAATTTACTTGTATCTTTTGCCATTCTTCTCAGCTAAGATCGATGGGATATCTCAGCCTATGCAAGAAAACAATCGCAAATCCTTTGCCCTTCTAACTCGATGCAATTAAAAGCGTCGATGGCCTTTACTGATGATTGGGGGGTCTCTATCATTTGACTGACCGTGCATGCTGTATGAGGAAAATAATAAAAAAGTCATGAAATTATTGTATTGGTGCTAATTTTGTTCTAAAACTTTTAATTTGGTCAATTTAGTTTTAAATTTTTTCACATTTTGCCAATTATGTTTACCGGGCCAATTTTGGCTGAAAGTCACTGATATGGAATCCGGCCATTTTAAGTGGCATGGTTGGTGCCGATGTTAATATTTTAATAATGATTTGAATTTTTTTATATATTTTTCTTTTAATTTGGCTGGTGAGGGTCTTTGTGCCTGCGCGGCCTTACCAGTCAAAAGGAAAAAAAATATAAAAAATATAATTAAAAATTTTATTGTTTTTTAAAAAATTGTTTACTTAGTGTAGGCTATGCCACGTAGGGCGGCTGACGTCCACGTCAGCGATTTCCGGCCAAAATTGACCGGATTGACTCAATTGGCAAAATGCGAAAATATTTAGGTTTAAATTGATCAAATTAAAAAGTTTAGAATTAACTTGATACCAATGCAATAGGTTTAAGATTTTTTTGATACTTTCCCAATACTGAACCGGTGGATGTTTGGTCTAATCTTGAATCTATTTCTGATTAATGGCTTATCTATAAATCTGCATTTGCTCTTGAGCACTCTTTATGATGACATGGAATTTATGGAGAATGTAATTATATCTTTCTTACTTATGAATACTTGAAGAATGAAATTATGGTAAAGAGGCCATAGGAAAAAAGACAATTGTTTGTCAAGATGCATGAGAAATCTTGAGCAATCAGATTAGAACATTCAAAAGCCACAACAAACATGCCGGGACTTCTTGAGAGGTTTAGAACTGACATCTGGAACTGCATAAACTTCACTCTCTATCTTATGATTTTGTGTGCTGTCATCCTTCTCGGAAGCATTCATGCCGGTGAGTAAATCACACTCAGATTGGGAAAGAGGAAGATATACGGACTGAGCCAAAACGTCGAGTATCCGACGCGCGTCTCTGCTAGTAATGTTTCCGTGATCACTATCCTCTGTCTGCAAAAAAGAACCATTCAGAAATGTCAATGGACATTCGTGAAATTCGAGCGTGTCCGAGGGTAGAAAATCTACAGTGTTCTGTGGACCTTACAGTAACTATCAATGGGAGCTGATGGAGAATCGAGGAAATCATCTACCCGCCAACCAGGCAGCATCTCGGTGAAGTACTCCGATATGCTGTTTGTTGAGAATGAGCTGGTGTCGATGATATGAGTATCGTCTTGGCGAGCATTTGAAGAATTTAAAAACTCTGCTGATTGTCCATTTTCATTTTTCAGTGAAGACGGCGGTTCCTTAGTTCGGGTACTGATGGATGTGTCAAGGGCAGTCGATGACGAGGAGGGAGCGCGGTGCGTTGAGGAAGAACCGGAGATTTTCACTCCGGTGAGAAGGAATCTGCTGTGCTTCTGCATGTGCTCATTGGACTTGTGTATGGGAAGGTCGCACTCTCTGCAAAGAATTGCTCTGTCTTCTTTGCAGAAAATCCAACCACGCTGCTCCTACGCATTCAAACCAAAACAATCAGCAAAGCGAAAGCATGAGATTCGACGAGTTTGGTGAACTTTTAGTCCCACCAATATCTGACTTTTCTCATAATGTGCCTTCAAAGTCAAACAGTCAATGCATCACACAACCTCAGTTGAAAAAGTTGACCATTAATAGAACTTCGATAAACATACCGAGACGACTCCCAGCTGTCCGGTGATAATACAAAGTTGACCCTCTCCGTAAAATAAGATAAGGGCAAGCAAAATCAGTGAGCCAACTTGAATTGCAGAAGTAAGAAATTTTCAGGTATTATCTTCTTCTCAGGCGAAAAGTCTTCAGGTATTAGCACCGGATTGTGGAAATCTTTGGTATCATGTTAAAAATTTATACTTAAACAAGAGAGCTCATATTCCAACGTGATTAACCAATTTTCGGTCAAGGAGGAGGTTTCTGAGAGAAATAAAGGGATTGCAGTGAGCACCTGGCAAATATCACACAGAGGAAAATCTTGGAAGGTGTGGCGGCGTAGGGAGTGACGCTTGTGCTGGCTCACGAGCTTGTTCGCATTGTGGACACGCCGATCGCAGCCATCGCAAAGAGCAGCTTCATCTGCTGAGCAAAATACAGCAGCCTCTTCTTTGTTGCACACATCACATTGGATCTTCATGGTCAAACTCGTTTCTGTCTCTTTCTTTCTTTAAGGCACTCACAAAACTCTTGGACTCCGGAATTAGTCCCAATGGGTTGAGCACTCACAAAACTCTCGACTGTGGAATATCATCCAACGGGTTCGAAGAGAATGCTTCTCGGGTTTGAGCACTCGCTATACAGAGCAGTGGGCGGACGGCAGAGAGGAAGCGAGGTCGATACTGTTCGAAGTGTCGAGCAGCTAGATGGGTCTATACATGTGATGGCTTCTCTCAATAAATATTGTGAGAGCTCTCTCTGAGAGAGAGAGAGAGAGAGAGTTGGCTCTAAGATTGTGTTATGAAATGTCGAAGCTTTGAGTCTAGGCTTGAATAAGGAAGGGGGCAGGGGAAGCTTTATATCGACCATTTACAGTCCGTGCTTTCTTTGCCCATTCAAATTTGCATCTGTCAATACAAGTTGCAGAGAGAGAGAGAGAGAGAGACTTGAGATTTGGTGAAACAGACTCGCATGTTAGGACGGTGTTTGAGGGAATAGATTTCAAAGCCGAATAGGGAATTGTGGAATTGCTTGGCCTTGAGCTAGGACGGTGTTTGAGTGAGACGACTGGTCTCGAGAAAATAAACGATAATTGACTCGAAGCGCTAATTGACAGAGCTCAACTTTCGGTCGGACTATTTTGCCTTCCTTTGACAGGCAACTCGCCCCATTCTTGGCCGCCCAAGCCGCGATCCGGCTGGCGTTTTGTGAAAGGCGTGATTTCACATATTTTCTCAAGGCCCGCAGTATGATTTCATCGAGCAACTTCAACATGTATTCCATGGCTGACATGAGGCAGCAACCCGACTAGACAATAGCTTTCGCCGCTGTAATCTCGGCGGCGACAACATGCGTTTTTTTTCTTTTTGCTAACTCTTCATCGTGTCGCCATGTCGATTTGCGTGTCATTCAATTTGCCCTCGTGTTTCATGTGTCTGGTGTGTGGACATTAGGGGCGATTCCGAAAATCGATGAAACAACAACCGTAAAGGATGAGTCCACCACTGTTGCTTACAATTGATGTTCCATGATCTTGTGAATCTTCATCTCTCATTATGCCCCCTCCTAGAATCAAAATTAGAGGGTTAGTAATGGGAATTCCTTAAAATAACATACACACTTTAACGTGATATTTGCATTCATATGCACTTGGCAAGTAGGAGTTTAGTTATCTTCTACTGCATGTGCAATTAAAGGGACGAAATAGCCTCCACCACCTATTAATCAAAGTCCGTACAATAGTACCAAAAAATTACACCTATTATTATATAGACCCCGCAGATAATTAATACGTACAGCTGCACTATCATGTTCGTTACTTGGTGTAGCATGTTGTGTTAATGGTATGCTGTTGGGGTCTAGGGTGATTAGTCACTTGATTCTTCTTGGACATAGGAAGAGAGACTATGAAGTATGCCCACGTTGCAATGCGAGTCAAAGTTAACGTGCAAGATGCAAATAATCAAAACTCAGAATGTGATTCGAGAATTCAAAAGTATCTTTAGCTTCTTAACTTAATTTAGTGAGAAAATCTAAAGGTTAATTAGATGGGGATTTCTAGATAATTATGAACGGACTACAATTACAGCCATTTCTCTAGTAAAATATGGTCAACTGTGCTTAAAGCATTGTGAATTATTTAAGCATTTTCATCGTTTTCAGGTTTGTCGCCTCAAAGTCATCACCAGCTCTGTGCTGCTAAGGCGTACAAATGATACAAGCGAATGATGGATGGAATACGTGGCAAATCCGATGTCGTTTTAGAAAGGTGGTTCCATACTAATGCATCCCATCTATGTTATCGTATGCGCTTTCGAAACGGGAAACGAAGAAAGTACTAAAAGATCAAACGAGTTGAGCTTGAACATCATCCCCGAGCTCCATGCGTTGACATGGAGGCACGCTCCAGCGAAATGGGAAATCAAGAAAATCTAGCTGAAGGAAAAGAGGGGAGGACATTGGCTCCGATTGGGAACGGCTCTCCTTAGGCAAATGCAAAATATCGTTTGACAAATTTTTTGGAGAGATATGGGAAGATGCGACCGCATTTCTAAAGGCCTTTAGCCCGAGGCAGGTTCGGAGGTGCTTTGAGCATTTCCGGAATACAAATACAATTTTTTTTCTTTTCCAATTCTGCCATCGCTTAACTTTCGTAATTCCGGAAATGTCTCTACCTCTCGGGATGTCACCTGCCAGCGAGACAGATCTGGCTATCGGCAAGCTAGTTTGGCACCAACCAAGTCGCGTGTCCTTAGGCGTCCTCGGGCGTTGCCTTGGTCGGGCATCCTCAGGCGAGACTGGCAAGCAGCCGATTCAGGAAAATATTTTTCAAATAATTTATTTTTTACGAAATAAATGGAGTCTGAAAATCTTTTGCATTTTTTCAAAAGCTTTCCCCCAAAATGTTTCCAAACACACCCATTAATGCTACGAGACAAGCTTTCACTTTTTCCACATGTGGATTTGGTCAGTGCTGGACGATCTCTTCAACATTATCGCTTGAGAAAAAGAGAGAGAGAAACGAAGACGCAAGAGATGTCAACGTTTCCAAAATTTGAGGCCGCCGAAGCACGGAATTGAAGTCAAAGGAAGTATAATGCATTACTTACGATTAGGGGTATTTGCTCATCTTGTTGGTGTACAGACTTTATGGACTCCTCTTTGTTCCTGTGTATTGCTTGGGTCAACGTGATTAGATGGCCTAATCCAAAGGCCGTATCTATTCTGAATCATGAATAGCTTTGAGGGTCATGTTTTATGGCGTATCAATGGATTTTCCAGCCTCGCATCTTTAACCTCGTTATTGTCTGAAATCCCATTTTCTCGTTTCCCGTTCGTTCGTTCGTTCATTTGCTTTTGTTTCCACCCAAGAAATAGTCCTCGAAGAACCCTCTGAGGACATTGCCATGTCGCTTCATTTTCGAGCTATCATCGTTGTCCTGTCGGTTAACTAAAAATTATAATGGTATTTCATCGTTATGACTAGTTTTTGGGGGAGAGGGGCTTTGTTTGCACGGGTTATAGCGTGTAAATGGAATTTTTCAGACTCGCATCTTTAACCTCTTCGTTGTCTGAATTCCCATTCTCTCGTTTCCAGTTCGCTTGTTTGCTCTTGTATTCATCCAAGAAATAGTCCTCGCAAAACTCTAAGGACATTGCCATGTCGATTGAACCGCTCACTTCAAGCTATCATTGTCGTCTTGTTGGTCGACTGAAAAATATAAAGGTACTTCATCGTTATGACTAGTTTTGGAGGGTGCGAGGTTTTGTTTGTATGGGTTCTGACGTATAAAATGGGACTTTTCAGTCTCGCATTTTTAACTTGGTAATCGTCTCTAAATCTCGTTCTCTCGTTTTACGTTCGTTCGTTCGCTTTTTTTGTCCATCCAAGAAATAGTCCTTGCAAAACCCTCTAAGAACATTGCGATGTCGCTTGAACTGCTTATTTTTGAGCTATCATCGTCGTCCTGTCGGTCAATTGAAATCGTTACGAAGCCACTACCTCAGACAAAGAGGGGGAGATGGAGAACAATAGGGGATGATGTGAGATTGGAGCTTCAGTGGACAAAGGAGAAAAAAAGTGAAATTGGACTGAAGCTTCACTTAGAGGACAATTGTTTGTGATTGTTTCTTTCTTTTTTTTTTTTTTTGGTCGAAGATTGTTTCTTTCTTTAGGAAGCATTGGCTTGAGCTAACTTGAGAGATAAGAAACCTCAGTTATGGTAGGATGATCAAAGTTTGGTGGAGGGGAGATGTTAAAAGTGTTGGACGGAGAATAAGTGTATGCATATATTAATGGATATTCTGAACATTTAATAAAAAACACGTGTGATTTAACCAAAATGAGTAGATTTGTCATTCGAAATGAAAATCGATACGATGATATCCTTTTAAATTCAAGTGCGATTCTCAGTAATTTCAGTTCTTAACGGTTAATTTCGTTGATAATTAGTGTCGTATATTCTTTAATCTTAGATTATAGACGGATTAAATAACTTGTTTAATTTACAGATGTGATTAGACGAGGGCAGGCTGGAGATGGGCTTTCCACACCACCAAGTACAAGAGAGAAACTTCTAAAAGAAGAAGCCTTTGGACTTAAAGGAGTGCTATATAGCATTCAAAGCAAAGTAAACTTAATTGATAAGTTCTTTTAGACAATACCAATCTGCTTCACGAAACATGTATTAATAGTAACGCGTGTTATACTAAATCGTAATAAGCTAATCATTTTTTAGAGAAATTATTATTAGTAATTACGTAATCACTATCGAATAAGCGATACGGGTTTTCGGAATTATCTTTACGACCTAAGTCTTCTACATATTATATATCTAATTAGTGAATCTATAAGCAATATTTTACATCGATAGTTAATCTAATATAAATTAATTTTCATAGAAATAATAATTTTTTACATTAGTTTGCGAAATAACTATTGTTATGATTTTTTTGAAATTTGAAAATTTGGGAGATATGGTATGAATTCCCGATATCGCGAATTGAACGGCCAAGATTCTCGCTCCGCATTTGCAGCCCCTCCCCAAAAAAAAAAAAAAGCGCAAAAAAATGGGAAAAAGCGAGAAAAGGGGAAAAGTTAAAAAGCGAATCGCGGCACGCAATAAAGGCGCGACGAGAGAGGAACCCGACGCTGACGTGTCGAGTACCGATTGGGGAAATTCACGTGGAGCAAAACTTCTTCTTGAGCGACACGCATCACGATCAGATCATCATCATAAAGTTCATAACCTCCCCCCCCCCCCCCCGATCCGATCTCTGCTGCAATTCTGAGTTTTTCTCTGCCAAACATCATCCAGCCATCCATCGAGAGAGAGAGAAAGAGAGAGAGAGAGAGAGAGAGAGATTGGAATCCGAGAATCGGCTCAATCATCATGGAGATGAAGATGGAATCGCTGTCGTACGTCGACGAAGAGCTCGACTTCGGCTTCTTCCACGTCGAGTCGGAGGCCGAGGACGCCATCTCCGCGCAGTGGGAGCTCGTCAATGCCTCCGACGCCGGCTCCGATCGCTCCGATTCCGACGCCCCCGACAGCCCCGTCTCCGACGGGCCCGTGTACGATCTTGGCCTTGCGAACGGGATCGCCCGCGTCGATGATCTTGACGAGCGGGATCCGGTGGGCCGAAATGGCGATCCCCGCATTTCCCGCCCGATTCGCCTTCCGGAAACCCTAGAGTTCCGCGCGGACGATTACGTTGTGAAGGCGGACGTCGAGGGCGATTGGCGCCGAGATGGTCGCGATGACGACGACGACGACGATGATGATGAAGACGGCGATGGAGGAGAAGAAGAGATGGACGAGGACGACGACGGGCTGGACGATGAGCTCGTGCCGCGTCACCTGAGCGGCAAGTTTGGGAGGCAGAGAATAAGGAAGTTGGGGAAGAGAGCCTGCTCGAAGATGAATTACTCCAAGAGGTCGCCTCATCTCTTTGTGAAGCCTGGTTGTCTGCACGGGAAGCACGGGTTGGGCTTAAAGCACAGTCTTTGATCTGAGGTAAAATTTGGGGAGATCTAAAGAGGTGGTGGGTTGATTGGGTTCGGGTTCGATGTAAGTACTTTGATTGATCAGGGTTGGCTTGGCGCTCCGGTGATAGTAGATTGGGGGCTAGTTCTACTTGTTGATATCATGTTAATAGATCTTTTAATGCTGACCTAGTTCGTTTCTTCGATCTTTCTCTTGCCCGTCCCTATCTTGATTTTCTCTTTTCGATATTCCGGTTGCCATTTGCATTGTTTTCGATGGTTTTAAAACTGCATCGTTGCATTCTTTTGTACATTCCAAATTTTCCTTGGGTTGACATCCGTAGAAGAATCTAATGGAAGAACAATAAATCTTTTGTTGAGAACGATAGATCAGTGGTTGATCTTGATTTGTGGCCATACGTAAATCGAGGCTGGCTGCTTTTGGATGTGGGGGGGTAAATGGTGCACAATGTAGGAATGGGGGCATTAGAATGAAGCAGGTCTGTTTGCAATTTGCATCGGATGTTGGCCTTTGGGAAGGGACATCACTCGGTCACAGAGCTCATTCTGTTGATGGTGGCCCTTTAAGCTCTAACCACCCGACTCCGATGGAGTTTTCCTGGTTGCAGATGAAATCTTGTTTTCAACTGAAATTGTTGATAAAAAAATTGAAAGAAATGTTCGCTATAGGGGCTCTCTGGTTAGATCAATTTGATCTTGTCTTCTATCATTGTGTTGAGTTTTGCCCTGCATTGGAGATTTTAAAAGAATGGATCGATTGTCCGTTATTTAGATAACTCGAATATCAGTTCTGGCAGTATTGGTTTCTTAAACATCACCTGGACAGAATTTACAACTTGGTCAATACGGAGGAGGTGTATAGAATGGTGCCTTACTTTTGCCGTTTTATGGTTAGTGGGATTAAAGCAGATATATGTGTGGTTGTCCTTCCATATTGTTTGATTGTTTGGTAGAAATGCAAAAATGGTATTGATTATGGTCTGCTCGCCTGTTCAGATTGAGAAGAGTGCTGGTTTTTTCTGCTTGCTGCCTTACCTTTCTCAAAACCTGGGATTTCTCGATGCTAATTTGGATTTTTAACAGCTTCAATTTGGCCATCATCGCTCTCTCTCTCTCTCTCTCTCTCTCTCAGATATTAATAGCCATATCTTAAGTTATTCAGATATATGTGTATACATGTAGCATGAAGCTTTTACTCGTGACTTCGAGTAAGGAATAGGATCTGCTGCCTTGTTCCAAGTGATGCTTCTTTAGCTAACTTCTGGATTTAGCAGTCATGGAGCAAAAAGTTGTTTGGATGTTCGTGAGTTACCTTAAAAATGAATGGATCAGAGTATGGGCCGCTGGCTTGTCGGAAATATTTATGGTTTTAGATACTTCTGGTTCTCAGATTTCTGAACTACAATTTGGTGATTAATGGTGCAAGACTTTGCTTATAAGGACATAATTCGAGCTCCTGTATCTTCTAAGGACAACTGACGAGTTCCTTCTGGGGAGGTATCTTGCGGAGCTTTTCTCATTTGGTTGAAAGGAGTTGCTTTTCCTTTTTCTGGCGGAACTTTTCAAATTTCGATTCTTTATATGTTGTATATGTTGTATCATCGCCATCCGATGAAATCCGCCACAAACAAATCCGCCACGTTTTCTTTTTCCCCTTCCCTTGTCTAAAGGCTTGAGATTGGAAAAATTCACGTATTTGGGCTGACTCCCACACAGTCATCGGAAAAGCTTTCGACTCGATCATGAAGTCTTTCATACATTTGTGATTATCCGCAATTACTCAGACTTTCCATTCTGGAATAAAGTTATGTTGATTTTTGAAGTACTTATCTTTCGGTGTGTCCGCCACGGGAAGTGATCGGGTCCAGGTGCACGAGTTCTGTTTGGTATTGGAAAATCTCACATGACAATCATCATATTGAGAACAGTAGCTAAAATATGAGGTTCATACCAGTCGGGCATGCGTATATTGTTTAAAATGGCCTTCTTCGAGGTACTTATACAAGCCTCTGTCCCAAATTAAAAAAAAAAAAAGAACCGGTAATTTTTTTTTCGGTTGAAAAACACCTGGTAATTACACAGGCGCAGATAAACCTTGATTAACAATCGATGTGATTTATGAAATGATGTTACAAGCATCTCTATGGATAACTAAACAAATGAAACACGTTAAAGCAAAATTAGAAAAAAGGAATATCAAAATGGGCTCAATAGCAAAGGAATTGACCTGAATGAATGGACTAGAGGTGGTCAAGGTAGCTTTGATTAGCCATTCTATTCCATCGAGCGAGCTTTTCACGGCAGCGATCGGAGTTTTATTCCGCAGGGAATCAAGTGGGAGTAATCAAATCACTAAAGAAAGAATACGGTCAATAATCCCAACCCACCACCACTGGACGTCCGAAAGAAAGAAGGGAGAAGGAAGAACCGCGGGTCTTTCGGCACAAGGACGAATAAAGAAAAGCTGTCAGAACGCATTTCCTCCTTACGGGCTTCCCTGTAAATTTTCGCTGTGTGACGAGAGGAGGGGGGGGCTTTGATGTGAATTGTTGACCATCGTCTTATCTCCTCTTTTTCTTTTCTCTCCCTCCCTCTCTTTTCTTCTTTTCACGCCTTTCGGTTCTCTACTTCAGCTCTACCATCACTACCTAACCTCTCAATTCTCAATTTCTGTAGTAAAGAAGCTGATCTGCCAATCGATGCACTTTACCTTAATTGCCGTTATGGACTCCATGCTGGACTCTGGGCAGCGTTCTTTTGCCTAGAACAAGTACCTTAATTGTTCTGCAGAGATGGTGATCAAACTCTCCAATGAAATGCTGCTGTGATCTCCAGCATGATCGGAATAGAAAAGATGTCCGCTTGTCTGAGGTGCATCGCGATCCTCTGGAAAAAGAAGAAGAAAAAGCTGGGAGAGAAGAGTAGAGAACCTTTCTTTGAGGAAAGAAAATTAATATAACACCACCCCAATAATGGAGTCACTTAAGACACTTACCATGACAAGCAGATCACCCCCCCAAAGCCTAAAACTTTTAAAAGCTAGCTCGTATTCACAGCACACACCTCATCACTCTCCATCAAATATACTTTCTTATTCTTATACTCAACTTTTGTTCTTGTTTTATGGTACCCGACTCAGGGAATCATAACTCTTCTCCACCCACAACACACGCGATAAAGATCTGAAGCAAGAAGGGCAAGCACAAGAACACATCAAGAGAGTGTTGTGAATAGTGGTTTTGCTCCGGTGTCTTCTTCTTCTTCTTCTTCTTCTTTTTCTAGTTATATTATATCGCACTTTGTCTCATTTCTGGGTGGGGGAGAAGAAGATGATGATGATGAGAGGAGGGCAATCTGGGATGAGCACGAGCTCATCAAGGTGTCAAGACTGTGGGAACCAAGCCAAGAGGGACTGTGTCTACAGGAGGTGCAGGACTTGTTGCAAAAGCAAAGGCTTTCCCTGCCAAACTCACATCAAGAGCACTTGGGTTCCTGCCTACAGGAGACACCAGAGACATCAACAGCAACAGCAACAACAACAGCAGCAGCAGCAACAGCAACATCAACATCTCCCACACAATGTTCCTGTTCACCAACAGCGCTCCCTCCAACCCCTAAACCCTAAAAGGCACAGAGACACTTCCACATTCCCAGGTAGAATCTCTCTTTTCTTGGAGAGTGCTATTCAAAGGACTGTTAACGAACTTAGCATCACCCGGCCAACAAATCGTTTGCGTGTGATGAACGTTTATTTTCTAAATAGTAACCTAGCAGCTTTTACTTGTTATTGGGGCGAAATAGCATTTGATTTGATTTTGTTATTAATTTTTTGAGATTTTCATCTTTCGAAAATCTAGGGTTGGGCGCTGAAGGGAATTTCCCTGCGGAAGTGAGCTCAACAGCCACATTCCGGTGCGTTAGGGTGAGCATTGAAGATGATGATGCAGCTGAGCATTATGCGTATCAGACATCCGTGAACATCGGAGGGCATGTTTTCAAGGGCATTCTCTATGATCAAGGTCCCGAGAGCCGCTACGGCACTGCTGCTGGCGAGAGCTCTTCAGGTGATCCCGCCTTACCTAGTAACAATGGTGATAATAATCCCGCCATATGCACTTTGGCTTCGGCTTCAGCTCCGGAGGAATCGATATTTCCTTGCGCATATCCGTTTCCTCTAAGTGCTTCGATCTCGGGGACGCACTACATTTTCCCGAAATCATAGCGCCTGTGCGGTTAAATTCTCTGAAAGGGAGAGCGGATTTAGAAGTAACGGCCATGATCAATGCGCTCACGGTTGAATGATTTTCATCAGAAAAGCATTAAAGGAGGTCAGTAGAACATCCCTTGATTTCGACCAAAAAAAAAAAAAAACATCCCTTGATGTCACTCGAGTGCACTGTCGTTGAAGACAGTGTGCAATTTATACGTCTTTCTCGTGTGCTAACATATAGTGTATTACTCTATTCCTCCAAAATGAAAAGCTGGACTTCTCTTTCATCAATTCATTTGTTGTTCTGATATAGACATGTATCTACTTAGATGCCGCGCATGTTTTGGATAAGTCCCATGATTTGTCCCATTGTCCATAGTTTAATGATCTTGTCTTGTGAGTTTAAGTCCAAGTTCGCTTCTAAGTTCTTGTTGTTTATGAACTTCGAAGCTGCTTTGTTCCCTATAATCCGCTTCTTTGCCTGCTCGGACGTGAAAAAAGTAAATTAGTTTAATCCTAAACTTACCTAACATGAACGTCTCAGGGTTGCATCTTGTAGGCAACTAGCTACGTTGTCTCTCCTCGTTGTCATGGAGACAAAACCCCCATAATCCGAGGAAGACACGTATGTAGATCTTTGCTTGTCACCAAGTAGTTGCCTCTGTCAGTGCATTGATTTCCAGGACACGAACTTCTCTGTCTAAACACGACAAAGATTCAAATTAGTCACTTTGCCGACGCGAATTGAAGTAAAGGGGAGAACGGTTTCGTTTGCTTATTATAATATTGTCCTGTTACACACTTTCTTCTCATGCAAATGCAAAGCTTCTCTTTTCGCGTCTTTTAGCAGTATATGTGATGTTGATAGAACTACACCATGATATTTTATTAGGGTGTTAAGATGTCGAGGGGAATCGCCCTATGACTATAAAGCCGAAGCTAAAAGCCCTAAACCCGATTAGTTTAATCTGAATAGAGAGAGAACCTTAGGTTGGGGGGGCATCTTGTGGAGTTTTTACATGACGGTGACCTTAACCGAAAAGCTGCTACATATAATATATAGTTTTCTAGTCCCTTTTGTGTTAAAGAGACGCGCAAGCAAAAATAGAAAAAGATAGATGCCCCCAAATATGAAAATAAAACCAGCTGGAATATATACCTCTGTACTCGAAAGAAATATACCAAGTACAAAAGCCATTGCTTGCGGTGGTTATATTCTTTCTACTACTCTAGTGGGGAAAGGGGTCACCCCTGAGAAATCCATGCAACAAAAATTGATGGCCCTAATCCACTAAAAGGAGACTTCTAATGTTAGGTTCAATCTCAATTTTGCTCCAAACTTGTGTTTGTTCAGATTAAAATCGCCAACTTTTACTTTGCTCCTAAATTTACCCTAGTTATCAATCCGTCCAAACATCGCCCCCGGTTTCTTAAAAATCATCAACATCAGGAGGCTGTTATTGTTCCATATGAAGGCGGGGGTGTTGATGAATAATGAGTGTTTTATTGACTCTAATGTTGATAATTTTAAAGAAACTAGAGGTGATTTTTGGACGAAGGGTTAATGGGAACATATTTGGGACTAGTATGAAAGTTGGTGATTTTTTAGGGAATTAGGCCTTGATTGACGACTTTTCCATTCTAGACGCAAATTGAAATTATTGGAGCTTCATTTGGATAATTCAGTAGAAAAAAAAAAGGAATTCTCAATAAGAAACTAATTGATTTAAGTGGCCTAAAAGTTTATTAGGTGGATTAAATTCACTCGTGTTGGATAGAGTCAATTACAATGCAAACAACGTGTGAAAACTTTATGTTTTCTGAGTAGTTACCGGTGTGTCCATCACAGTTTGACTAGACTTATGCACTAAACTTCTTGAAGCTCAAACTTGTGGTGATCGGTTCCCGGTCCGGTCCGGTCCAATGGAACCGGTCACTTAGGATTTAGTTTACATTTTACTAATTTTTATCAATGAATTTATGTCAATGAAGTTAACTTAGGGTTTAGTTCACATTTGACTAATTTTTTTGAAGAAACAATATAAATAAAAAAAAGTATATGTAGTCAGTTCGGTTCCCCCTTGGAACCAGGAACCGGACCACTCGGACACCAATTCCACTTTTAGGAATCGGGAACCGGACTGACACTCCCGGGAACTAGACTAAACTGACCGGTCTAGTCCGGTCCGGGCAATTCCCTATTTGGGCGATCCGTTTTACATACCCCTATCTCAAACTCAGTTAAACTCTAGCACACTATATTGTCAGATGTTAGGGGATACTTTAATGGAGTCCCAGTAGGCATTATAATGATCCGTGTGTTTCTGCATATTTTTTTCTCCTTCCTTTTTCGGCTAATAATTGAATTTCGGCCTCTTGAATTTCTTTTTCCCCTAAAAAGTTAACCAATAATCATATCTACTTACTTTTGCTGCAACATTTGGGACCGACGCTGATTTAGACCTGTGGAGCTTGAGAGATAAATTGTGCTCTAAACTATCTTTTTGCGTGGTGTGTTGATCAGGACATTGTTATGGAATTACTAGAGCGCGCAAGTAATCCAAACGACATAGTATCATGGAAATATGGTATGAATTTGCATCTCTACGTGTTCATGCAAGATTATCATTCTTTCAGACTTGGTACAGTATACGGTTTGCGTATTCTTTTTTTGTACACAAGCGATACTTATTACCATCAATCAGGCAGTTATAATTTGAAATATCGACCAACTATCCATATCAACGGTGAAAAACACGGGCTATGGGCAAAAATGGGTACACAAGCCGTGTGAGATGGCATTTGTTAGCTAGTGCCTCAATGGCTCTTGTAGGAGGGGCACTTGTTAAGTGAATAATTAGGGAAGTGTTATGATTTTCAGTATATTAACTGGTGAAACGTGTGATTAATGTATTGAAAATAAAAAAAAAAAATTCTTGTACATTTCATCAATGCACTTTGAGACACTCGTTAATAAGATCCTTTATATTTTTTCGTCCCTTTCTTCGATTCAATGGTTTCAAGAGCTCTTACTAGAGCGAAGAAGGCTAACAGAGTCATGGTCATTGGGGACGCAATGAATAGGTTTTTGATCTTATGTTATTGCAGTAATGAATACGTTTTTGTTTTTGGCCAATAGGAAAACTGACATTGAATGATAAATTCGCGAGCCTAGCGTGATAGTCTAGTGGGATTGACCGTGGTCTTGCGTTTTCGTATTCACCGACCAACTTATAATAAATCCGGCTCCTTTATTTTGTGAAAAATCAACTATTTAAAAAATACTTTCTTAATAACAATCGCTCGTATTGCTTAAAAAAATAAATGAACAAAAGATACTCTCATTGTTCGTGAAAATATTTATATATAAATGATTGTCGACTACAACAAAAATATTTTTATCAACTACTTATTTCAAACTATGTAATCTATTATTTTTAAGAATATATTTTTCGTAAAATAAATGCACATAAATAAATTGGTATTACATTGTTTCGAGAGTTTCAAAATGAGAAGTAAATAATAAACTTATAATGAAAACGAAAAGGGTGAAGAAGAAAACAAGGGATGCGCGGCGCCTTTTCCTAGAGGCCATCGTTTTCCCGACATGTCTTCATCATATGAAGTTTCCAGCCGCTTCGCTTTTGTCCCCGGGAGGATAAGGCCGGTGCTACACGGATCAGGTATTTTATTGATTTTTAATGCATGACCTAAATTCTACATGGACAGTCAAATTTGGTTGAGACACCCGCATGGATATACCCTCTACAATTATTTTGAATTCAAATCATTATGGATAGATCTTTCACAAAATCACGTGTACATCGAATTTCTAAAGATCGTTTATAATCGCTTCGTAGTTTCGATTGGTTTATTTCTCTCTTTTTCGAATTTCTGTTTTGTTTACCACGATATGGAGGCAAATTTTATTTTCCTAAGAAGTGCGTCTCGGTGTAAAAGGAAAAAAATTATCTAAATTCTGAATTATTATGAATAGTAAAAGTGCTTTTGCTCCTTGCAAAGTGGGGGTGCCTCAACTCGAGGCACGTTTTCGATGAATTAATTAAGTTACGAGTCTCTTGTTCTCCCCATCCTTAGCCTTGTAATTACCGGAATTCACCGCCTATAAGAATGACGATTGGGGATTCGCCTTAGGCAATTACATGTAACGGATGGATGCGTGTTGTGTAAGGAAAGATTTACACGAGCCATGTATTTAAGATTGATCCTAATTTTCATCAATTAATGAAGCACATCTATATGTTTGGGTACATGAAACGCCCTTGTTAAGACAAACTCACTTATGATGCAATTAAAAGTAGGCACAGAATCACAGCTTAATTTCAATATAGACCCGACCGAGATCAAAACGTCGTCGTAATTACGTAGGATGCTAATCACCCACGGCCAAATGATGATAAATGGGGGACGCAACAGGATACACATCTGGGTCTCGGCCCACTCGAAAGACCAAGGAGAAAAAACAAACGAACACGTAAAAAGTGGAAAAATAAAGAGGGAAATAAAATAAACAAATGAAATAAAATAAAATAAATAAGATGTGAATCAAAGGAAGGAGCGAGGCGAGGGACGAAACGTGGTGTGGTGCTAAACTCCAAAGCCATCTCTCAGTTCCTCGTGTCACTGAGATCGATCCATCGATCGATTCATTCTCTCTCTCTCTCTCTCTCTCTCTCTGTGCTTGCTCGTGTAGTGTACAGGGCGGTGTCGAGGATTGAGGCGAGAGAGGAATCGAGAAGAACCGAGGGCTGAGGATTCGCGGCGGCGATGGGAGAGAGGCGGCGCGGCGGAGGCGGAGGAGGATGCTGTCCTCCGATGGATCTGTTCAGGTCGGAGCCGATGCAGTTGGCCCAGGTCATCATCCCCATCGAGTCCGCTCACCTCACCGTCTCCTACCTCGGCGGCCTCGGCCTCCTCCAATTCAAGGATGTCCGTACCTCCTCCTCCTCCTCCTCCTCCTCCTTGCTTCTCCGATTCGATCGTTTTGTTCTCTTTGGGATTTGCTCGTTCGCTCTTTTTTCTACTCGCTTCGCCGTTTGGATTCGGTTTGTTTGTTTTTTACCCCGTCCTCGCTGCCGATGGTTTTCGCGATCGGCGAGGGGTTTTTGCTGTCGCCTTCTGTTGTGGACTTGTTAGGTTTCGAGGTGAATTTTAGGCTTTCGGACACTTTTTAGGATCGATAGTCGTTTGTTTGTTTGGAGTCGAATTGACGCGCTTGATTTGCTGCAATTGAAATTGCTAGTTCATTCGCCGCGGTACCCTGTTGTGTTGCTGAGGCCGTTTGATTGAGCTGGTCTAGGAAATCCATATGTTCGGTAGTAATCTAGTCGTGGTCAGAGAAACTGTTGGTGTAAAATGTGAGTGCCGGCATCTTAGATGCGTAAAGAGTTTCTGGATAGCGCACTACTTGATATAGAGACCGGTATCTGGTAATTCCTTCAGAAGTGAAGGAGAACAGAGAGAACAAATAGAAGTTGGAGAAATCGAAATCGGCACGTCATCCACGTGTGATTCAGAAATGATGATATGAAGCAATGTTACGATGGGGATAACACACGTGAGCTCTGGTATATCCATTTCCAAGTCCATTGCTGTTTGTGGGTGCAGATAACTATTAATCATGATGTCTTAGTTTTTTATATCATATGGCTCTGAATTTAGGAAAATGGATTCTCATTTGGAGCGAGAATTCTGCGGGAGGATTATTTCCTTTACTTTTTAGATGACATTAATCATAACGAGCTTATATTATACAAGTTTTATATCAACTGTTGTCTTTGATTCTTTTGGTTATTATAGTGCCAGACGAGCAAATGT